TCTCTCTCTCTCTCTCTCTCTCTCACACACACACACACACACACACACACACACACACACACACACACACACACACACACACACACACACACAGCACATTGGTTCTTGGAAGTCCCATTCAGTTCGCATATCCAGTAGAACATTCTTTGGTCATCTCCGTCGTCGTCATTGTAGATTAGGTGGGCGCAGAAGGCGGGAAAGATGGGCAGGAAGGGGAGGCAAGATGGGTGTGGAGGGTAGGGAAGTTGGCCGTAGAGGGGGGGGGATCTCACAGCACATTGGTTCTTGGAAGTCCCATTCAGTTCGCATATCCAGTAGAACATTCTTTGGCCATCTCCGTCGTCGTCATTGTAGATTAGGTGGGCGCAGAAGGCGGGAAAGATGGGCGGGAAGGAGAGGCAAGATGGGTGTGGAGGGTAGGGAAGTTGGCCGCAGAGGGGGGGGAATTTCACAGCACATTGGTTCTTGGAAGTCCCATCCTGTTACATGCCCAGATGGGCGATGTACACAATAACCGAGGATCCGCAATGTGATAAAAAAGGACTGAATGGACAATGCAATGCAAGTGGAATCTCAACAAGCAATGTGCATTTCAATACACATAGAATGGTGCTTGATAGCGCAGGGAAGACTTAGGTACAAATCCTGACCTGACCGGGACTGACCTCTATCACGTAGTGCAAGATAGCGCAGCAAAATGCTAGAATACTAATGACTAGCCCAATCAATGTTGCAAAGCAGACCAAACATACATCATTCTCACCACACGGTGTGAAGGGCCTGGCGCTATACATAGGAAGAGGGCGCCAGGTCCAGACATGCACAGGCGAAGAGGAGGGGAGAGATGGGAAAGTCGTCAACACCAAGTCTCGTTACAAGTCCCATATAATCCCTCGTCAAAATGTCTGAAGTCCAATGTCGAGTCTGGATCCAAAATGTCACCAAGCTCTCACTCTCTCTCTCTCTCTCATAGTCTGCTGATGCAGTGAAGTCACATAACGAGAGGGTGAGAGGGGGATGGTGGACTGAGAAGAGGAAGAAGAAGAACTCTCTCTCTCTCTTTCTTGTACGTCAGGTACTAACCTGTGAAGATGGCGCTGTGCTGCAGGTACCTCGAAGACGAAGCTGGAGCAACGGCACTGCAGGTAAGTATCCCTGGCCTCCGCCCAATCTCTCTCTCTCTAGTACTACCCTAGCTATGGCGCCCAGCGCTGAAGACTACAGCTACGTTACTAGTGCCCAGCGCTGAAGACTAAGGCTAACGCTACTACTACTCCTGCAGCGCTCCTCCAGAGTGCTGCTTCCGAATCCTGAAGACTACCTCCTGCCTCCTGAACTGCACGTGAAGTGCCTGGGAAGTCCCTATGAACTACCTACCTGCCTGCAGGGCGGGCCAGTCCTATATAGTGCTGGCCCGTCCAGGAGGCTGCTCTTGCCAATGCCTGAACGTGCAAGACCCTGGGGTTGAAGCTCAAATAAAGGTTGTCTTGAAAATAGGCCAGAAATGGCCTGAGCTAAAACCCTGGTCTGGTGCCTGAGTTTCG